TCTTTGAATTGGTTATAGTGCCTGGAGTGCCCTGGCAATGTCCCTCCATTCAGTGTTGCACCATGTTCGTGCAGTATTCCACAAAATAAGAGTCCCTGGCCACCCACAGTCCGGCCCCTTCAGTATGTGTAGCTAAGGCAGAGATTACACACTTCCTTGTTGTCATACCCATTCATACTGTCAGTTGGAACTCTGACAGGCTAAAAGCAGTCAGCTGACACTCTCAGCCAATCACAGCTGCCTATTGATGCTCAGGCTAATACTTCCTTATTAGCCAAAGCAGCACAGAGGGGATGGATTGCCGGGGACTCTTGTTTAGCATTAAAACGTTAAAAGTTTAAAAACTGATGGTACCTGAGGACTCCAGACACTATAACCAGTTTAATGAGATGAAGCAGATACAGTGCTTAGGGTGTCCCTTTAAGTAGTCTGATGTTTGTGGATGATAGATATGTTTTATGCACAATGAAATGTCTTCCAGAATTTCAACAGAAGTCCTGAAGAGGTTTTTCTGTAAGTACTTAATTGTTCCATTCAGAGCGAGTTATGCAAAAAACAGGCTGAAATGTCAAAGCTGTGACTACAGCTGTGTTGGAGATTTTTTCCAGGCCAGCTATGTTTCCTAAATCTTTCGGCTTTCAGCTTGTTACAATTCAGATTTTTATGAATAACCGCAAAAGTATTGCAGGTGGTAAAAGATGTATTAGTTCAAATGCAGGTGCAAAATAAGGAACATTCTCACAATACCAAACTCCAGTTCCATTTGGACATTTAGTTTTGCACATTTTGTTTGCAGTCCAAAATAGTCCATGTCATTAAAGAACTATTACAAGATATTTAAATGCTCCATTATTTACATCTGCATATAGATATATTAAGATAAAATAATTAACAACTGATCTGGGAAAAATTCTTACCGTGGGTGAAATGTTATTTTGTCAAATAATTCAGTATTAAGGGGACACTCCATACATCTAAAGGACTTCAGCTTGCTGAAGTGCTTTAATAATCAACAGAAACTCCCCCTTGTCCCTATTCATTAATGTACCTTTTTTCAAGAGATATTTGTACTAATTTAGGAATGCTCCCTGGTCATTGAGCTAACAGCCAGGAACGCTTTCTGATTCACTTTGCTTGAACAGTCGTTGAAGTGGAAGTGAGGTTCCATAGGGATGCATTAGTCTAATGCTTTCCTATGAGAAGCATTCTACTTATTCTAATTGGCGCAGTCACTACATTTGCTGCAAAGCACCAATTTTGTTCTGAATGGAAGTAAAAGTCTACTGGGAGCAGAGCAGTGGCGAGAGAGGGTTTGTTGGTGAAGAAAAGGGTAAGTAACCTTAATTTATTTTTTTTTTGGGGGGGGGGGGGGGGGGGGTGAGAGGGGAACTGGCATCTAGTGTTGTATAGAAATGTTCCAAAGATTAAATCTGCAAATGAAGTTCTGATATGGAACCCAGTAATACCTATTTATATTCACATGCATATGAATATATATGCATAAAATTATTTCACCACTGTAATGAATAGAGAATAAAAATGGGCACAGTATATATCGCTTCCAACATATAGCATATTAAATAGACATATTTATGTAATGTTCTTTTATGGTTATAAAATTTCTTAGCAGCATAGTTTATTCATAAATTAGCATTAGTTTGAACTCCCCTTAAAATAAGTAATCTTGGAAAGTCAGTTGTGTCAATGTTTTTCTTGAAAATATCACACATTAGAATAAAATCAGTTACGATTCCAATTTGGAAATCCTGACCCAATGATTTAAAATTTACCTTGAATTCTCAACAATTTACATTCAATAAGCGGGGTGATATCCATAAGGGGTGAGGCAAGCAAGAAATTAAATGGCTATAATCAGTTTTTCACCAAAGTGTGAATTGTCTTGAATTGGGAATTACCTGGAATTCATAGTAACCTCAAGGTGAATTTCATATTTTATCAAAAACATCTGAACTGAAAAAAAGAAAAATCTCCTAGAAAGCTATTTACTAAAGTGAGAATTCAAAGTGAAATTCAAATTTAAGGCCAGAATAGCATAGCTGACATAGAGAGTTTTTCCAATTGGATTATTTTCACTTTAAATTTGAAATTCACTTTGAATAATCCACCCCAAATTCTCACTTTTATGAATAAAACTGTCAGCTATCTCTTCAGTTCAGCTATTTTGGATTAAAATATGAAATGTACGTTGAATTCTTCCCAATTCATGGTTTAGTAAATATTCCTGTCTGCAAGCAGACTTCATAGTTTCAATAATTCTAAGGGATATTTCTACATAGCAAAATACACAACGTGATGTGCCTAAAAATTGTCTCTTCCTGAGCTGCTTTGTTCTATAGTGTATAATTTTTTGACTACATTGTGTTTTGCCAATTTCTTCAATTTCCAAATGGTATAAACGCAGAAAAAGACAGACAGTAAATCAATATGTTAAATGTAACCCAGGCTACAGAATGGGTCCTGTTTCATTTAGAACTGACAACAAGACCCCTGCACAATACAACATGCAATCAGTAACAGCCAGATGGGATTATATTACAAAGCTCTACAGCTCTCGTCTTGTAGAGAGACTCTTAATTGTTAGAATAAAAAAATATATAAAATAAGGCTTATATTGATTTGCACTTGGACGCTATTTAAAGGTTAACAAGTGATAATCAATTTTGGTTTTGAAGTAATTTGTAAAATGTCACAAACATTCCCTTCTGTTATTTTGACAATGTTTTCGAAATTTTAAATTTTAGCCGATATTAGCTTTAAAGAATAAAGATCTCGTATTATAAATATATTCATAAAGATATTTAAAGTGTAGGTGTTTCCAATGAGAAGAAAAAGCACATATATAAACACACAGGTTGTAAGATGTAAAGACAGATTATTAAACATGGGGTTTGAGACCATCATTAACAAATTATACTTGTATTAGTACAAGATATTCTGGATATTTAAAATATGCAATCTCAGTAATTATACGTGTCCCTCTGCCATAAGGAGGCTGCAGGATAAGAACGTATAAATGACAAAAAGCACTGATCATTTCTTATGCTCCCTCCAACCCAAATATACAAAATAATCTAAGTAACAACATTTGCTGACCACTGAAATTTCTTCTTCATAACTTTTTCAGAGTGTGCACATTTAAAAACTCACTACAGCCACTGAATCGTGAAGAGCCAAACACAAGATGGAGGGGGGTGTCTCCTGCTTTGTCTATGCTAATCATTGGTACAGAATACTTTGATTAAGTGAAAGAATCTCACCTAGGATTGCGGTGGGCACAAACGGATCTGCCAAGCATCATTAGAAGTCGGAGCATTAAAATCAAAGTAAAAATAAAAAAAACAAAAATACAAAACAAGATAAGAGAATATAGAAAGTAATCGATCACATTTTATATCTTTCCAGTATATAAACACAAAGTCACAATTGCAATGGTTGTGTGTGTTCACTAAGGGATGAAATGGATGACACAGCCACAATATCGCCTTACCTGGGTAGTAGGAGTTTGGTACAGTTGTACTTAATGTGTTTGTTTTCATCGTGAAGGATGAAGGTGATGATACGGCTGAAAGTACAACAAAAGATTCTTAAATTACAAAGAGAGAGCAGCACAAATAAATCAGTTTGCACAGAAAAACATGTGTTTGCTGACAAACGGTAATAGTTTTTATTGGATACATCAATGTTACAAATTATCAGTAATAGCTTTTCTGTGTTCATACTCTCTAGGGCCATGCATCGAAAGCTGTGTGAAAGCACTTATAGTAGAATAGTTGTTTTAAATGCTAGAAGAATCTAAGTTGAAAGGCTAAAGGCAAAAATGTGCCATATTACTAGGGTCAGACTTAAACTGGCTCCAGTGGCTCTATTGGACTTAGGTGGTACTTAGAAGAGAAAAGAGATTTTTTACTTTTATTATTAAATTCCTGCTAGCCACAGGCAATTTTTAGATGAACCAATGGTGCCCCCCCACGTGTCATGCAGGAACCCCAGCAATTTATAAATTCCCCTGATGCTGCTATTCTGAGTCAATCATTTATCTGAGTAAAGAGAGTATTGACAGTCAACAAAAAGTTATAATTAAAACTATAAAATCATCAAATACAGACATATTGTTAGTACATACTTGCATGTTACACCTCCACCTAATAATATTCTACTAGGATGCAATTTTAGTCATGTGTTAGAATATATATATATCTCCTCAGAATAAAAGAAAGAACTACAATTGTATCCATCAACATATTCAAACCAGACCGATGCATTGTTAAATACATAACATAAACTACGCCACATAGAACTATCTACAGGTGGAATCCAGGTCCAGTGGGTAATCTCCTTTCAGCCCCGAGAGGGGTAAGAAAGGCACATATCCCTACTGGAACCCTGAAAACAAAAAACAAAAAAAGGGGTGCCACCAGGTTGTACAGATAAAGGGGGTAACCCTAATATAAAGTAAGGAAAAAGACACTAATTCACCAGCACAGATATCCAACTTGATATTGTGCCGGGAAAGAGCTGTACAACCCTATAAGCATATATTTATGATAAACAAGTATCGTAATTTATTAAAGATAAAAGCCTAAGACTCCTATCCACTAGGTACATAGATGTAGAAGGTAGAAAATATCTATGAAAAAAGCTAAAATAGCAATAGGCGAATAGAACTGTAGGTAGACATAGTCTGTTTAGAATAGATAGAGAGATCTAGTAAAGACTAATAGTAGGTATCTAGAAAGCATATATTCGCTCCATTCTACACTACTCAGTCCTAAATCACCTAGAAACTCTCTAAATGTTCACAGCTAAATGCTACCTAAATAGAATCCCTAATGCTCCAGCATAACATAGATCTAATGCCAACTAGCATAACTAGTCCTATGGAGGGACTAAAAAAGGTGAAAAACTAAATTAAGTGCTAACCCCTACACCCCATGTGCATGGTTAAAAAATAATAAAGTAGAAAAAAGCCCGACGCGCGTTTCAGCGTATCAAGACGCCGTCGTCAGGGGCAAGAATAAAATGATAAAAAGAAAAGAATTTTATTCTTGCCCCTGACGACGGCGTCTTGATACGCTGAAACGCGCGTCGGGCTTTTTTCTACTTTATTATTTTTTAACCATGCACATGGGGTGTAGGGGTTAGCACTTAATTTAGTTTTTCACCTTTTTTAGTCCCTCCATAGGACTAGTTATGCTAGTTGGCATTAGATCTATGTTATGCTGGAGCATTAGGGATTCTATTTAGGTAGCATTTAGCTGTGAACATTTAGAGAGTTTCTAGGTGATTTAGGACTGAGTAGTGTAGAATGGAGCGAATATATGCTTTCGAGATACCTACTATTAGTCTTTACTAGATCTCTCTATCTATTTTAAACAGACTATGTCTACCTACAGTTCTATCCGCCTATTGCTATTTTAGCTTTTTTCATAGATATTTTCTACCTTCTACATCTATGTACCTAGTGGATAGGAGACTTAGGCTTTTATCTTTAATAAATTACGATACTTGTTTATCATAAATATATGTTTATAGGGTTGTACAGCTCTTTCCCGGCACAATATCAAGTTGGATATCTGTGCTGGTGAATTAGTGTCTTTTTCCGTATGTTCATGTGTAGTTTGTGATTTTGTGTATGATACATATGAATGTGGATTGTGTGTCTGGAGGATATGTCACATTGTGTGGTTGGAAGTGTGCATGTGTGGGACTGTGTATGGTATTGAATCTGAGAGGCTGTCTATGAGGTTGTGTGTGTGTGTGTGGCATGTCATTGGTGTTGTGTTTGTGGGGACTGTGTGTATGTTTGTGTGTGGGCTGTTTGAATTATTTGTTTGAGGGGGAGGCTTCTTCTTTAGATTTGTGTAATTCTAGCAGTGGGTGGCTTTCCTGGGATTCAGTAGTGTACAGGTCAAGGGCAGTAGCTGCAAAGATGCTGGGTGATGCTCTATTCTAGTGTGGATTCCCATTTACAAGTGCTGGAAGGAAATGTTGTGAAATGGTGCAATGTATAAACAGATGATTGTCCTCACCACCTGCAATCACCACTCAGGTCTCCTGATACAAAAAGATTCAATGTGTACAGGCACTCTTCTATCCTTAATGATGCTGAGTATCAAGGTAGCCCACAAATATTACCTTCAATACACATAATAAAACATAGAATACTGCACTAAAATATTTATCAAGCAAAAGTTATTTCATTACCTATTTTCAGCAAATTATTTCTTTAAATCAATGGAATATACAAGTGTGGCAACGTATAATATATTGCAAATAACTTATTATATTTTACCTATATGATCACAAGCATGTAGCACCTAGGTGATATACCTGAACACCACAAATTAAATCAATAAAATATCCCCAATCGAATCTGACACTGTGTCAGTTGTAATAGTGTAAATCCACACTATATGGATGAGAGCCCTGTGTATAAGCAACAATAGTTGTCTATTTGGCAAAAGTATATATTATACATTGCCACAATTGTATATTCCATTGATTTAAAGAAATACTTTGCTGAAAATAGGCAATTAAATATCTTTTGCTTGATAACAAACATTTGAATGTGGTATCATATGTTTTATCAGGTCTCCTGCATGGCAAACGTGCCATAGGTTTCTGACCCCTGCCCTAGATGTTCATGTTGAGAAGTTCATCTTTTTCATTCATTACCAGATTTTAGAATCTGGTTAGAAATTTAGAAAAAAAAAAATGAATTTGAAGGCAGTTTGCATCTGTATCTGAAGTAGCAGACCTAGTAACACCAGAAGAATAAGACAAGCAGGGTGAACCACAACAATGAAAAGTATTTTTTTTTAAAAAGGGTAAGCATCAGCAGCATTAGTAATAATTTATTTTTATTATGAAGTGGATGAACAAGGGTATGACCTCTCCCAAACAGGCATCACTATGGCTACAGTTTTCTGTTACATCCCTAAATGGTTTAGGACTGCTACTAGCTGCCCTATTATTGCACAATCCTCATGGCCAGTGGGGACCCAACACCTGGTCAGTAGATAAACTATGGTTTGCCCTCCGCTGTTCCAAAATCTAAGTAGATAGATCTTCTGGTCAGAAGATAAACTATGGTTTGCCCTCCGCTGTTCCAAAATATTTTCCAGCATGTCTAAAGTGAAGTTCCACATCCTCTTGTAGATGGTATGTGGGAAGACATGCTTTCTCTTGCTTCTGCCTCAAGAGTTGGCTAACCTTCACACTACTGTGGTAATGCTCAATAATCCTCCTGCAATGATTAAGTATAAAACATGCCCAGGTGCCTCTGTGTCTGGGAGATTATTGAGTCAGCTCTCGGTTAAACCAGTTATCTCCCGGACATAGAAACCCAATATGTAAAAAAATACCAAAACATATACAAAACAGTGAAGCACACCCACATGCCATCCATCCCTAGAAAAGTCTCTCTGGAGCACCCATACTCTCCAAAAAGCACCTGGATTGGATATAGCCCAAATTAGGTGGAAGTAGAAAGTTTCGGTTGGGCGTGGTTAGTCGCCAATCCGACACAGTTCTCCACAATGCTTGGTAGAGTTTCCCGGTCACCTTAAATCATTGTGCTTTTTGAAAGTACATGGAGCTCCTCCAAGTCCTTGGTGTCATTCAATGTCTTTCCACTTCCTCTGTAAACCCTCCAAATAGCACCCTGATTGAGTATTCTGGGACTGAAAAAGCATTCTGATTAAAGTTTTACCAGACCACCGCTTTCGAATTCCAGGGTAATTTATCGCTCCTAGTGAGGCACACCTTGTCTCAGTGCTCACATTTGTAAAAGATGGGTGGTTCTGGATAACCAGGAAAGGTTGTTGTGCATGGAGACATGGGCTTGAGGTTTAGTCCATAGAGGAATATAGTCTCTTCGGAGAAGGTGTTTTGATTGATTGTGCACCTCAGTGCTGTTATCCTTGAGCTGTATAAGCCTCATAAATAAGTCAGATAATTGGGGTAGTATTTTTACATTGATACTAGTATAACCTGCTTATTATTATTATTATTATTATTATTATTATTATTATTTATAAAGCACCAACAAGTTCCGTAGCACTGTACAGTGGGTGGACTAACAGAGAAGTAACCAGATGAGTTGGACACACAGGAACAGATGAAGTGGGTTAATGTGACACAAAGGATAAGGGTAGGGTAGAAAAGTAGGTTGCTAGGATAGTAATATACTTCAACATAGAGATTTTTTTCTCTGCTCTTATTTCGCTGAAGTTTAAAAGGACTGACCACATCTATATATCATGAGGCAGTGATTATGCAGTTTAAGCCATCTACAGAAAGCTTTGACAAAAGTTCCTAAACATGTAAGTGAAGCACTTATTTTTTTATAAACATATATTTGTACTGAAATATACTACACTATTTGTACTTCTCTTGGCTATTTTGTGTCTTACATACAAATAAACTTGCAAGCAAAATGGTGTTCATTAAAATATTGGTGCAGCCCCTATACTGCAGGAAATCCAAGACTATGAAGTGATCTCATACTATTCCTTAAATGCAAGTAAAACAAAGGCCTTGGGTGTAGACCTCCCTAAACAAATGATCGACCCTCTCTGACAGAAGTATTCCTTCAATTGGAGAAGAGACGACTTTACTTATCTGAATGTCATCTTTATGAAACACACTACAGAACTTTTTGCAAAAAATTACCTCAGAGTCTGGAGGGAGTGCAAGAGCCTCCTCAGTAAATGGACCCCACTGTTCCTTACTTGGACAGAATGTATAATTTCCCTAAAAATCTCCATTCTCCCAAGACTTCAATACCTATTTCGTACACTACCGATCTCCCTATCATATTCCAATTTTGCTATGATAAGGAAAGACCTTATCCACTTTGTCTGGAGGAAGACCAAGAGTGGCTAGCAAGTTGTTACAAGTGTCAGTGAAAATGTGAGGTTTGCTTTTCCCAATATGAAAATGTACTATCACTCCTCTATCTTGGCCTCCTCTATGCAACATTTCCTCCCTAATTCACCTCCACAGTGGGTATTATTAGAACAACAACTGACCCAACCTTTTACCATATCACAATTACTCTGGCTACCTAAAAGGTTCTGACCACCCACTCAATTTACACCTGCACAGGTGACACTAACAGTTCCAGACTGTCCAGCCCCACCCCTTTCTCCAGGGCAACTCCAATCATAGCCCTCATACACTGCCTACCTACCTTCCATGCTAAACCATGTAGGAATTGCGGGATTACACATCTAAACCAGGCATATGCAGGTGAAAAATTAGCAGACTTCACAACCCTAACATCCACATATAAACCACCCAGCACACCGCAATACTTACACTTACAACTACACTCCTTCCTACAGAAACACAAACAACCAGATGCCCTCATTACAGATGATACAAAAAAAGGCTTACCGGATGGGAAGGAATTTGTATAAACCCCTACAAATGTAAACTGATCTCCATGTGCTATGGCTTACTGATATTGTTCACCCCATTTTTTGACTCACAACAAGTCTGTCAATGGTCTACTGACCTGCAATGCACGATCTCCCAAAAACAACAGGATAAGCTGATCAAGAACCCGAAAAAAATTACTTAAATCCGAACGCTTATAGAACAACACACAAAAAAATTGTATAGATGGTACATGGCAACAACTCGAATACACTCAATTTTTCCAACCTCATCCCCATTGTGCTGGAGATGTGGCCAAGCAGATGGCACTATGTAACATAGCTGGCTGCAGTGTCCAATGCTGGCACGATACTGGAAGTTGGTCCACCAACTAGTGTTGGATATGACTGAAAGCACGGTACTGTTCAACCCACTGACATACCTTCTCCTAGTCCTGCTGGAAAACCTGCCAGCACACAAGAGGAAGTTAATATCACACATCATTTTGACAGCACAACGGTCCATAACAAGAGCATGGAAATCTACATCCCCTACAGTTTTTTCCTCTTTCAATACAGAAATAAACACGCAATGGATATATGAACGCTGTTACAGCAGCTTTTTCCCTCCCACGAAAGCTACACTAGATGCTTGGGAGCTTTGGCAATCAAGGATATCAGAGCAAATGG